AATTTCGCAATTAGAAAGTACTTCACTGTCCCAAAATAAGATGGAGTGTCAGCAATCCAAGGATAATACAGAAAGTAAACTCAAATTAAAGTTGTTGCAAATTAATCATCTAACATCTTGCCTAGCTGATTTCTGATGGCCCTGTGCATGGTGGTGTAAAAAGAACAAACTCTGTCTCACGCTCATCTTTGTCTGCCGAGTGCAGCCTTAAACAACTAGAATACACACATGACCTACGTTAACTCCTGAGCTCAAGACAGGATCACCACAGCAAACATTAAAGTAGCCTGAAGGATGGCCAATTTGAACTTGCTGTGCTACAAAAAAAACCAACACGTGGATCAAAGGTACCTATGAAACAGAAACAGGACATATCGTCGATTAACCTTCGGGCAGCTGCCTACATTCACCAGAGGAACACCACTATTTTTCATGATTGTGGACAAGTGGGTGGCCGACATTACTTTCAGATGTACAGGAACCACCACAGAATAATTACTGAGGTATATGCCAGGGCTCCTTCCTATGCCAGCTTTGCTCTAGAGCAGGAGTCAGTAACCTTTCGTCACTGAACAGGCAAACCGTGACCATATTCAGAGCCAGAGAGCATCAGAGGGCCAGTACAAGAGAGCCAATCTGGATAACCACTTCAGATTACTAATACCTGGCATGTTGATTAATAAGATATAAGTAGTGAAAGGATGCATTGTAATCTGTATTAAACTTTATTAGAGGGGACAAATGTGAAATAGTGGGTGCCTTCGGTGTAGGTGAATGCCTTCATTTCAGCTTATATAACATGATGTATAATTAATTCACTGAATCAACTACTATGAGGTGACATCTGGTGGTTTAGCAGACTTTCAAAAGGATTTAGACAGATTTATAGACATGGAGAGGCTGGATAGTGTGCAAAATAAGGTATTTCACGCTGGTGCAATCCAGCAAGCCTCTTATTTTATTCTTATGAATGGTACAAGGCACATAGTTATCCTATCCTCATTTTTGCAGAAGTATTTAAAAAGTATTATTCAGTGATCTCACTACTTTCTCTGCATCTTTAAGTGTGCTACTGAGTTATTAAAGTGTGAGGGAACAAAGGAGATGGCAGGTTTTTTTCATGTTGAGGGAAAAGCGTTCTGTGCATTCCCTGAAGTATTCTCCTTCCAGAATTCAGCCCATGCTGAAAACGAACTCTTAGTCTATGTCCTAGTGAGATCTTTGCACAAACTGAGTAACTAGAAGAGATAAATTCTACAGGGATAGCCATGTTAGTCTATTGTGGCAAAACCAAAAAGGAATCCTGTGCGACCAATAAAAATAACACACATTGCATTTTCCAGCTTTTATGGTTAGAGTCTAGTTCATCAGATGCATGAACTGAATTCTCAGCCTGCAGATTTTGCTATGGTGGCAGCAGAAAGTGCTGCCAAGTCGCAGCCAATTTATGGCGACCCGGTAATATCATTATACACATTGTGTGTGTGGGGGGGGGGGAAGAGTCTGTTAAGGAAGAAAAGCAGTTGTAATTCCCATTGAAATACACCTTATGGAGCTATATGGTAATGAATTACTACGGTATTATATGTAAAATTTCGAAAAGCTCACATGCAAGGAAAACAGAAAAGTGGGGATAAGCCCCATTGAATAAAATGGGACTTACTTCTGAGATAACTGCTGAGGATTACTCCCAAAAGATCTACTCATTTTTGTACCCTTTGATCTGCAGAGGACCTGGACTTTCAACCGGATCAGGAGCATGGAAGTTATTTCCAAGGTAATTTCAGTTGCCCAACCTGCCCCTGCTCTCCTGCTTTCTTTTTTCCTCTTTAACTGAGATAGCAGCAGGAGAAGAGGGGATGGGATAGGAAGAGAGAGCTGGGTCATGGGGTAGCCCTGATGGAATTTTTTGTCCGGGTGGCCATGGTGGCTCTGGGAAGCTGCTACAGCTGCTATTAATGTGAGTTAATAAATAGTCAACTGCCACCTCATTACTCACCTGTGATGCACTAAAGAGTATTCCCACAAATGGTTAAAAAGCCACCCCATCTTTCTCTCCCACCATATATCAGCTGTTCACCAAAATTGACCCATGGGAATCACATAACGTTGTGACTTTCAACTCCATCTGCTTACTATTAACTGTACAGTACTTGATGGAGAAAGAAGGATTCTGGAAGCCAAAGGATTCCACAGCCTTACATGGAGAAAGAAGGATTCCACAGCCTTACATTTCTGAAGACGTCCCAGCTGCCAGAGATACACAGCATTTATTGCTAATAGTACAACTTGTAGTAAACCATGCAAACAACAACACCCAACCCAAGAGAAATCAACTGATTTGCTATGTGAATATGACTTTGAACACTAATCATTTAAATTCAAGCATGCTGTATCTTGTGTCAGAAGGAGCTATTACAAACACCAATTTTAAGCCAATATTGGTGGTGGTGGTGGGGTATGTTCCACCCTTAGGAGGTGAAATTGTGTGAGTAGCTCTCATAAACACCAGAACCCTCTTCCTACACCAGGATCAATTCAGATTGCTCACTTTCCATCTCTTGAGTCCACTGCTTTAGCAACGAACAAGCAGGTTCCGTTTTCTCCAGCCTGTGTCCAACCCTGACGCTTCCCTCTTCTTCTCCAAGGTGGAGAATTTGAGGAATTTCCCAATTTGAGGAAATCTCACTTTATGGGCACATAAACACACAAATGCATCTTTTCCCCCACTGGAGATTAATAAATCCAGACTAACCACAGATACTTAATCAAGCACTCAGAGTTTTAAAAGACAGAATCCCCATTCTGCCCGCAGGTATGCATGCTTTCAAAGGGAACAGGCAGGCATCTCAGTTTCAGTTTTTAAATCAAGCTGATCTTGAGGAAAAGAGACTACATAAAAGGTAATTAATACACATTAAGCTGTTTTTGAGATTTCTGTTCAGTATAAACAATGAATCAATAGTGCACATTATATTTATACAAAACACTTCCTGGTAATCTTACATAATTTTTCAATAATGGTTTCTGAGGTCAAATACACTCAGCATTAACCAACAGTTTACCCCTTTGAGCCAAGTAGCATCCGATAACAACACAACCAGAGTTATTATTATGTACTGGGCCAAAGGCTAAATACTAGTATTAGGCTTCTACCTACAATAGGTCTTCAATCACGCTTTTTAAACAGAACTCGGATCCTGTTCCAGGCATGGCTTGGTTAGCCATGAAGGCAGGAAGAAAATGATTCTTAAAAAATGCTGGGCGGAAGCAAGTGTTTGGGCAGCTTGTACTTCTGCCACAATTTTTTAGCTGCAGTACAAAACAAAATGTACACAGACTTCAAGGGGAGGAGTTTCAGTTTCCAAAGGGAATTCAAGGCACACATTTTTATACAGATTAATTAAAGAGGCAGAGTCTGCAGAAATTCCTCCTGATCAAATGCCGTTGGCATTGGGAGAAGTGCCACTGATATGTTTCTATCCTGCATTCTCAGCATTTCTACTCCTGAGGTAGCTCCTAACATTATTACTTTAAAAGCACACACACACACTGATCAGCACTGACACAATGATTTGAGAACCTCATAACACACTGCCGTGTTCTTACACAGCATCCACTCATTTCAGTGGAACCTGTACAACAGAACTTGGGAAGCTAAGGCAGCACATGACTCTGCGCACACACTTGCGTGCTTTGGTGGCTAGGGGAGAGTAAGCAGAAGATTCTGTCCAACAGAAGATTTACCCGACAAGATGCTTTTACTATCAACTGATCTGAAATGCAATTGATATTTACAGGCGTAGTGGAGTCCTACAACCCCTGCAGAACTGGGATGCGACCGCACGCTGCACACTTATCGTTTGGAAGGAACACCGCTGGATTCAATGGGATTTGCTTCCCAGCAGGCATGCCCTGTACTGGGTGGCCTCAGAGGCCATCTCCCACTATGTGACTGTGCACACAGAAGGCTGGTGGAAGACACTGGTGCATCAGAGAGTTATAGGAACAGCTGCTCGCCTCGGGCAGCTCAGTGGGTCCCTGCTCACCGTCAGAGCTTTCCTTGTGAGTTTGACTAGGCAGAGCAGCTGCAGGAAACCCGAAGACCCTCGTCTCTGAGCACAGTGGCAAATAAAAACAAACGGCATGCCAAGTGCTTCAGCTGGTACAAAGTCTGGAGTGTAACTTTAGCATCATGCCTCTCCTTTCCTCAACATGCCCCGTCCAGCCCTTTCCAACCAAAACAAAAACTTCTCTCCCCCATCATCTCGCTGAATAACGAACGTGGGTTACAGAGCCCTACTGAGAATGTCACCAACACAGCTGGATTCCCTCCCCCCCCCGCCTTGTTAAGAACTGCAAAAGCTGCCCGCAAAATAGCCTTTCTACACGTGAACTGCAAAGAGAAGGTAAGCGAGAGATGCCGTCTGAACTGCTGTCCAAGACAAAAGGACTGCCTTGTCCAGCAACAGAAGCTACAGAAAGTGGTATGAAGAAAACTTCTAAAGCAGCAGAGGGAAGGTAGCGCAATAAAGAGAGAACATAAGAATATGGTTCTTTCTGGTAAGAAAGAAGAACATTTTTCAGGCTTGTTTGTCTTCCCACAGAAGAACATTAGGATCTCTGAAATGTTTTCCTCCTTGTTTTGCAATGAAAACATGCCTCATGTCAATACTACTTTCTAACCAAAATAAGTAAAGCACCCACTGAATTCACTCCTCAACAGACCCCACCATCTAAGCACCCACTGCTTAGCTCCAAGAGCTTATTCCCAACAAAAGCTGATGTTTGTGATCTGTTTTTACAACAGAAGTCTAAGTCTCCACCACTTACTCCAAATCCACCCTTTAATACCATAGCCAGAGGTGCTAACTAACGCACAACATTAAGCTTGTTTCTCCCACTTCCACCAAAACATTTGCTGCCCCCTCCCCACAAACAGTTGCAAACTGTAGGGGGGGGGGAGGTTACAACCAAAAACGGGACAGCCGAAAACTTGCCTCTCCTCCATGCCCATCAAATATCCCAAATATAGAAGGATGGGTCTTGTTCACCAGGTCCGTGATCACTTCAAACCTGTCCTCCATGTGGTCTCTCCGGCCTTGGATGGAATAGACAGCCACGTTGTGGTTCTTAAACTCCCACGTCTTGGAGAACTCCGCGTCCAGCACATCCAGACCCCCGAGCCGGTCGTTCTGCATGATCTCGGCCACCTTGCCCTTCACCATCTTCACCGCGTCCCTGCTGGACTTGACGATGGTCTTGACTTCATCCGTATGGAAGAAGTAGCTCCACAGGGCCAGGCTGATGCATAGCAGGAAGAGGGTCTCTGGTCTCAGCAAGAAGTAACGCATGATCCGACCCAGCAGAGAGAGCAAAGTCATTGTATCCTCTATCATTTATTACAGAGAGAGTGGATCCCCCCCACACACCATGCACCACACACCCTGATGACTGGGATGGGTCTAAAGACGAGGCAGCAAATCAGTGCATGCTCCGGTAATACAAACCCACGGAGGGCAGGGTTATCCGCCGGCTGCTGAAGCTGCCTCCCTCCTCCTCCTCGTCCACCTCTGATTCAGGGAGCTCAGTCACAGATGGCTGGGGTGGCTCTGATGGAGAGATCAACACAGTCTCCCGCGCGTGCGGCAGCCAAGGGCAGGCTTAGCCGTCTCCTGTTCTCGCTCCTTCTGCTCCCAACGAGCATACGGCTCCCAGACGGAAGATCAGCTGGAAGACAGCAAGGATCAGCACATGAGAGTACTGGTGCTACAAAGCCGGCAAGGAAAGAGCGTCAGAAAGCAGTCAGCGTCTGGGAGCTCTCGCAAAGCTTTTTAACCAGCCAGGCTGGAAGAAGACGGGGGCCCATGCAAGCTTAGCACACAAAAGAATTCTTCCACCTCCCTCCTCTCGGTGCTGTTTCCCCGGGTGCTCAGTCCCAGCTGCCCAGGGACGGCTTGGAAGTAGGACAGTAAATCAATCTGTAGTCGGCTAATGCAAATTTGGCTACAACATCTGGCCCCTCTGCAGTCCAGGAGGGCTGCTAGCAAAGGGCTCAGGAGCGGCAATTGGCCAGATGAGAAAGGGGGGGGGGGGGACAATGGAAACACCAGTGGGCTTCAGAAGGGAAGAAAAGACCACGGGATCTGTGTCAGCTCCAAGCGGGAAGGCACCGGCATTGAAGCCCTTCTCCCAGGAGAGCAAGAAGCAGAGGAGAGTGCTGAAAGGAATCAAAGAGGGACACGCCAGTCACTTTCAGGGGGTGATTGACATCTGAGCACTTTAAACTGACAGTGGTATAAAAGCAGGGAAATTCACTCCTCCCCCCAAAAAACAACTGCCTTTAGATTCTCCCAGAGCTAAAATAACACTAAAAAAATACGGTCGATCTGGCTTGCCAAGTACCAAATGGATCCAAATGCTCCCCTTCTTTGGGTTTCTAATTGGGTTTCTAATTTGCCACCTTGCATTGACAACATCGGACTGGCACCCACCACATCCTATTCGGCTTCCCTGCAGTCCATTCCCCCCGGCAACCACTGGAACTTGTGAAGACCGCAAAGTCTTTCTCAGAGGGGGGGAAGAGAGAGCGCGAGCTCTGGCCGCTTTCGGGGCACAGGTTTTGGGCTTACAGGCCATCCGAGGGGCGCTCTGCCAACCCAGGACGTGTGAAAACGGCTGGGAGAGAATTTGGGAGGGTGGGGGGGAAAAATGCTTCCATGAACCAGTCCCTCTCCTCACCTTCACGGAACTGGTGCAGAGATTTACATGCAAAGACTCCCAGGAAAAGCGCACCTCGTGCCTCTTCCCTGCGGCTGCAAAGAAGCAGGCGGGCGCGAGGCACATTCGCGGCGACGGCAAACGCTGCAACCCCGGGTCTCCCTCCTTGCGCGCGCGCGCCCCCGTTTCCCCGGGAACTCGCTTTCCGCTTCGGGGCCCCCCCACGTCAACCCTCCGCCTGCCTCCCTTTCCCCTTCCCCAGCAGCTACCACCCGCGAGGTACCTGTCTCCCCTTTTCTCTTTCGCCTGTCCCTCCCACTGGGCTGGACTCGACCGCCGCCGTGCCGCCTCTTCAGGCCGCCGTGGCCTACAAATCCCGGGAGCCTTTGCACCAAGGCACGCTCGTGTGATTGGTGGGAAGTCGACCAGGAGGATTCTAGAGCTTGTAGTCTCTGTGGCGCAGCCTTGCTCTCTTGCGCCCTCTGGCTACGGGTTGGGGCCGGGGGGGGGGGGGGGGGGGGGTCTACATCTAACTCCCAACATTATTGACGCATGAAGACCATCAACATTTATTCTGGAACAGCAACAACAACAACAATTTTTTTTGTGAGTCAGGTAAATTATCAGACGCACTTCATCAGTGAGCTTTGACTCACAAAAGCTTACAATGGGATAATTTTTTTGGTTGGCATGATCATGCCACTGAATTCCTGTTTTATTTTGCTTTGACAGACTTTACACTGAGCTCAGACTTTGGCCCATTCTGCATCTAGCATTTACTCTGCTGTTTTACCAAACTCAGGTTGGTACAGAAATCCCCCTCTGCATTGCATGACACTTTCACTCTGATTGTTGGATTTTATGGTAGCCTCCACACTGCAGGCTGCTCTCACTTCGTTTGGTCCCTTGGTTTTATGGTAGCTGTCTGCATAGATTTATGGCCGTTTTATGGCCATTCAGGGGTGACCCTGCAGTATGGTGTTGCCCCAGGGGATTTGGTCCTTTCCGCACTTGGATCTCATCGCTGGTTTTATCAGAGTTAAACTTGCCACACAAACCTTGCATTCATCCCTGGTTATAACAGCATCTGTTTATCCTGGGACAAGTGTGGGGCAAAACTGGGATGACCTCAGTGTAATGTGGAAACAAAAAATACTCCAAAATAATTACAGGGGCGAACGCGAGTGTAGTGTAGAATGTAAAAATACCCCGAGATAATTACAGGGGTGAACTCGCATGTACTGTAGAATGTAAGTTCAGGGACAGGGTTGAACCAAGATTTAAGGTCTAGTGTGGAAAGGACCTTTGGCTGCGGTCACACACTAAATAAACTACTTTCAATCCACTTTCAGTGCCCTTTCCAACTGGATTTTGCCAATTCACACAGTAAAATGCAGTTGGAAAGTGCATTGAAAGTGGATTTTTTAGTGTGTGTGCCTTTGTTCTCCTGCTTTGGACCAGCATGGCTACCCACCTGATTCAGGCTTTACATTGCTACTCATCTGGAATTGTCACCTTTAGTAGCAACTAAAGCCTACAGTTTTAAACCCACTTACTTGGGGTAAGCCCCACTAGATCCAGTGTGTCTCACTTCTGAGTAAATATTCACAGGTCATAGAGTTGCCAACTCCAGGTTGGGAAATTCCTGGAGATTTGTTGGGGACAAAATCTGGAGACGTTGCAGTATGGGAAAAGAAGAGACCCGAGCAAGATATAATGCTATAGAACCCATCCTTCAAAGCAACCCCCCCCCCCCCCAAAAAAAAAGAACTGATCTCTATAGTATAATTCTGAGTCATCTCCAGGACTCTGGTGCAGCTCCATTATAAATATACAGGAGTTGTGTTTAGACTCTCAAGTAAGCAATTTCTTTCTACACATGCTTTTTTTAAAAAAAGTCTTTAAATTGTGGTATTATTAGTTTACCTTTTTCCTTAGTTTGGAAGCTACCTCCAATGTTAGAAGAGGTAGAATGTAAATATATTAAGTGCATATTTTACAAAAATATATATATTTTATTAAAAAAACAAAACAAATTTCACCAAGTTTCTGAAGAAGTGGGCTCTAGCTTGTAAAAGTTTATGCTGGGATAAAATTTTGTTTGTCTTTAAAGGTGCCACAAGACTCCTGCTTATTTTGGCCGCAGTGGACTAACACGATTACCCCCTCTGTAAGTAAATGCATGTGATTTACTGCTTCCTCACATTTCCATACAGCCAGGCGAAGATTTCTATGCTGTGCACGAAGGTTCATGTTACTGTAACAATAAATACAGGTGCAGTAAAAGATACTTGAAAGCATCGTTAAAGTCTTTGCTGTATCCTACAGCAACAGTGTTTTGTTATTCATTTATTTCAAATTTTTATGTCTAGCCTGATTTCCTTAGACTTATTTTGTGGATGGGAAAATAAGGGGAAGAATCTGTGACTTACCCAAAGTACTTAAATAGTCATAGCAGAGGGCCATGCCAGAGCTTTCAGATGCAGGTCTGCAAGCCTATACACATTTACAAGTAGGGCTGCCAACCTCCAGATGGTGGCTGGAGATCGCTTGGGATTACAAATTATCTCCAGGCGACAGACAAAACGGCCCCTTTGGAAGGTGGGCTCTATGGCATTATGTCCCATTGAAATCCCTCCCCTCCCCAAACCCTGCCCTCCTCCTCATTCTCTGCCCCCAAAATCTCCAGATATTTCCCAACCTGGAGGTGGCAACCCTATTTACAAGTGAGTAAGTCACATTGAACTGAATAAGATTTACTTCTGTGAAGTCATGTTTACGATTGTATTTTAAATCTGCATGTCCTCCTGGCCCCAACTTGGTGTAGTGGTTAAGAGCAGTGGACTCTAATCTGGAGAACCGGGTTTGATTCCCCACTCCTCCTCCACATGAAGCCAGCTGGGTGACCTTAGGTCAGTCACAGTTCTCTCAGAGCTCTCTCAGCCCCACCTACCTCACAGGGGCAGTGTTCACACATGTGAGAATGCGGGGGGGGGGGGGGGGGGGCTGTTTGCTCTGCAGGAATTTGACTTGCATTTGCGCAATCACACAGTCCCTGTGAGCTGCGGGGGTGGCCTGCCACTGCGTGATCAGACACAACCGCGGGTGAGTCGAGGGGGTTGGCCGCGTATTTCCGGTGCACTTCAACAAGGGATCGATGATTCGCGTCTCCGCACCGAGTGCTCCTTATGCAGTGTGTGATGATGCATATACTGAAACGGGGGGAAAACAACGACATGGAGACGGGATAGCCGATCAGACCATCCCGACGCCATGGAAGCGCGCTTGCGTGATCACACTGGGAAAAGTCCATTCCTGGCCCGGTGTCTTTTTAGTCCACTTCTGCAGAGCAAAATGGGTTGCTGACGAGAGCGGGACGCTTGGCAGATGTAGGAGTCTGATCGCACCCTTAAAATCTGCCCGGCATTCATGCCTATGGCACAGCCAATTCTGCTTGTGATCGTTCCACTGGTGATGGCCCCACTGGTGGACCTCCTGATGGCACCTGGTATTTTTGGCCACTGTGTGACAGAGTGTTGGACTGGATGGTCCTTTGGCCTGATCCAACATTGGCGTCTCTTATGTTCTTATGTTCTCAGGGTGTCTGTTGTGGGGAGAGGAAGGGAAGGCAATTGTAAGCCTCTCTCCTTCGCGTAGTGAACGGCGGGGGATAAAACCAACTTTTCTTCTTCTTTTTCATAGACAACCCCCAAATACCCATTTTCTGAGAGCAAGTTGTTGTTAGCAATTCAGTCATGTTCGACTCTTAGCGATTCTATGGGCCAGCTCTCTCCATGTTTTCCAGTCTTGTACTGTTTCTTTGGGTTGTTGTATACACAGGCTGTTGTCGACTTTTATGGTGTCTAGTCACCATGCTCTTTGGTGGCCAGGTTTCCTTTGGCAGCTGTCACAGGAGCTCGAAGACGACCCTTCGCTGTCCTCGTCGCTCAAGCTCCCAATGCCTCCAAGCCCAGCCATGGTGCTTTCCCCCTCCTGGCTGGAAGGAGGATTGCGGCCTCAGACACCTGGACGGGGGAGGGAGGTTGCGTCACCTTCCCTCTTCACCCGTCCCTGCTGGATGGGGCGCCCTCTCTCTTGGCTTCACCCTGCCATCCAGGAGTCATCCCTGGCCTCCTCTTCTTCTTTCCTTTTATCCCTTCCTCCCCTCTCCCAGTGTGCCCTGCTCCTCCTGGTGCTCCCTCCCCTCCCAGGCCCTGCCCTCCTACAAAGCCTCAGACACGGCTCCAGGGGCGGGGTCCTCTCATCTTCCGTCCCTGCTGTTCGGGGCCACCAGGCTCTGCTGCGGGGGCGGCCGTCTGTCTCCCGGCACGGTGCTTCTCGACCACGCCGCTGGTTCTTTCCGGGGGCCTGGCGGGGGGTGGTGTTGGTGGCGCCGCTGCCCGTCCCGCTGCACCTGGCTCCCTCCCGACCCGTCCTGCCTCCCTGGTGAGTATCGGGGGACTCGTCGCTGAAACACAGCCAGGTAGCCTCTTGTTTGTCAAACCCTTGATAAATCATTGAGACAAAGAAACTTAAACTGAGCATGTGCAAATGATGTCAACAATGATGTAAAGTTGGGAGGAGCAAGAAGAATATATACGTTAGAACTGTGCTGTTACTCACTGGACATCTGAGCGGAATTTTTGGCTGTATGGTGTCCCTTATTCAAATAAAACTTTTTTTCTACCTTTTTACTGCCTGAAATTGTCTGTCTCACTGTGTGGTTTATTGGCTAGCCACACAAGTCAAAGAACCTTAGTGCCCTCAGGGCGTTGCCTTCATTCCCTTCCCTTGGCATCCTGAGTTTGGGCTTCTTTGCTGCTAGCATACAGCTCTTCTGTGTATTCTTGCCATCTCTCTTCAAAAGTAGACCAACCTTAATCCAATTTAATATTTTGCCTTGTTCTCCTTTCTTTAACCTATTTTGTAACCTCAGTTGTACATTTCTGAACTAATTTTGTTGACAGTGTTGCCAGGGAAACCCATGATTTTTTTTATTTAAATCCAGTTCACAATTAAGCACAATCTCAGCATGGCACAAAAGGAAGTCACTCTTTCTTACTTTTTTTTTTTAGGCTGAATGCACTGTTACGAAACAAGAGGGCAATGATTCCCCAT